GTTGATTACATGTGTTTATGACTGTGATGTTGGGTTTTAATGCACATAAAATATTTTAGGACACTATTTGTTTCAGAATCTTTTTTTCTTAATTTCCCTTCTCTAAAAACTGGTGCGTCTTATGGTCCGGAGCGTCTTATGGTCCAAAAAATACGGTAAGTAGGAGTCAATGCCTCTACTATGTGCCCCAGCAGTCTCTACACCCTCTGTATACCACTTATCACATCGTGAAAATCCACTTAGGGAAAGATTAATTTCTACCCTGTTTCCCCGAAAATAAGACATGTCTTATATTAATTTTTCCTCCCAAAGTTGCGCTAGGTCTTATTTTCAGGGGAGTCTTATCTTTCCATGCGCTATGTCTTATTTTCGGAGGATGTCTTATTTTCGGGGAAACACAGTATATTGTCAGCATCTAAAAAATACTTGCCAAAGAGAGGCAACGAATATTTATATTATGATGAAATGATATGGATCTCAGAGTTAGACTGACCTAACCAGTGTTGATATTCAAAACATGTAGCAATGAGAGTGGCTGTATCAATTGAATAACTAATTCTGGATTTAAATTCTGGCTCCATTTCTGATGAAATTTTTAAGTGAAGACAAGTCAGTTAAATAATCTGAGCATAATTTTATCATGTGTACATGAAGGTAATAATAATTTATAGGATGAAATTTTAATTTTAATGATGAAACAGCATATGAAAAAACCCATTTCAGTGCAGGTACACTAAAGACCAATAACAATTTTTTTACTTTGTTGCTAAACTGCTTTAAAGCAAGTTACAGTTGTAGTTACATTAAAAAAAAATATGCAGAATCCAATGTAAAATGAAAACACTCTAATTATTTTGTCTTATCTTCATTTTTCAACAGTGCACAACTTAATTATTTGGCTTCTAAGCTTTAAAATGCATTTACCTTAATCTTCTCTATGATATAAATATAACATTGTTCATTAATTTACCTAATTAACAGTGCCTTTATGTCAACTGTAGGTCATATTTAATGATTCAACAGAAATTTATTAGGAGTTATCAGTGCAAAATCAAATTTATCTTTATCATTCAGGGACTAGTTTGCACTGATACTACTGATAGCTTATAAATGTTCCAAGATGCTTAATAAATACTTTCTTTTTTTGTGTTAGTAATGTAGATAGATAATTGATGGTTTTCATCTAATATCAGCAATCAAATTAGAACAAAAAGAAACAATTCATTTCCATACTAAAAGGCTGGTATCTTTTGCAGCAACAATATTCTCTTTCTACTTTACAATTTTTCAAGGGGAACATAAATAATTAGAAATCTTATTAACTGTGTTAAATGCCAACTTCAAAACTTAGTAATCAATCTATATATTTTAGGTCTATATTAGATGGCTGTAAGTATCCAGCTTATTCAGTATGTTGAAAATAACTGATCCAACTAAGATAATTAAAATTAAGCTCTTCAGACTGTCAACCAAATGTAATAGTGCCATAAACGGACTAGAATTATATCTGTAGGTTAAACAAGGAGAGTATTGCCAAAGCTGGTTTGGCTCAGTGGTAGAGCGTCGGTCTGTGGACTGAAAGGTCCCGGGTTCGATTCCGGTCAAGGGCATGTACATTGGTTGTGGGCACATCCCTGGTAGGGGGTGTGCAGGAGGCAGCTTGTCGATGTTTCTCTCTCATCGACGTTTCTAGCTCTCTATCTCTCTCCCTTCCTCTCTGTAAAAAATCAATAAAATATATATATAAAAAAAACAAAAACAAAACAAGGAGAGTATTAATTTCAGGCTAGCTTAGTTATTTCTCCTTTACATGTGGCCATTGTCACATAGTTCATTTGCTTAAAGATAGAATTTTGTAAAAGAATAGTCTTTAATAAGTTTACCACTTCCTTTAAATCATAAGACACAAAAATAGAACCTCAAGCCAATCTAATTATCAATAGATAATTTCAATTCGTTATTCAAAATGATTTATCTATTGTCATTTATTTTCCTCATTTTAAAAATGTGTCATAATTCTAATGAGTCAAAAGTGATATAACCTTACTCTGGGTTCTAGAGAGTAACTACATAATTATTGTTTCAAGAATCACTACACAAAAATTTTAAGAAACCTTTCACTTATGCGTTTTGAAAAAAAGAATTTGTAAATGGAAGTAATTTTAAATTGCATAATATAAAACTGAAAGCATGATTCAACATGTCACATCTTAATTTGCAAAGCAAATATGACATATATAGGAGTAAGCTGGAATTATTACCCTGGAAAGAAACAAACTAAAGGTTTTGCCCTGTTTGTCCAATTTTCTTTTTTATTTCTATAGAGAGTAGCCTGTCCTTTTAGCCTGGGAGGAAACCGTGGACTGCCTGTCTTTCTGCATGATGAGATGGGAAAGACAAGGAGGCACCTTCATTGTATTAGATAAAGACCTCCAAAAACCTCATATTCACCATCCACCCATTTGCAGTGGTTCTCAACCTTTCTAATGCCTCGACCCTTTAATACACTTCCTCATGTTGTGGTGTCCCACACCCATAAAATTATTTTCATTGCTACTTCATAACTGTAATTTTGCTGGTGTTAATGAATTCTAATGTAAATATCTGTGTTTTCCTGTGGTCTTAGGCCTGTGGTCAGCAAACTGCGGCTCGTGAGCCACATGGTGCTCTTTGGCCTCTTGAGTGTGGCTCTTCCACAAAATACCACGGCCTGGAAGAGTCTATTTTGAATAAGTGGCATTAGAATATGTTTAAAAAATGTGGCTCTCCAAAGAAATTTCAGCCGTTGCACTGTTGATATTTGGCTCTGTTGACTAATGAGCTTGCTGACCACTGTCTTAGGTTGTCTCATAGGTTGAGAACCGCTAGCAGCGTCGCCTAAGACCATCAGAAAACACAGGTATTTACATTACGATTCATTAACAGTAGCAAAATTAGGAAGTAACAATGAAAATGATTTTATGGTTGGGGGTCATCACAACATGAGGAACTGTATTAAAGGGCCGCAGCATTAGGAAGGTTGAGAACCACTGAAAAGCCTTCAGAGCCTCACGGAGATGGTTCGGGAAGACTGAGCCCTGCCTCCATGGTGGGCACCTGCCCAGCCTGCTCTGTGCTGAAGCTCCTGGGCTCCCTCTGACATGCTCACACCCAGTTCCTCTCAGAGTATTGGCTGAAATCCGTTGTTCACTGGTTATAATCCAACCCTCTCCTTTTCTGTTATGTGCACATTTTCTTCTAGTTTTTAACTGTAGTTTTAATAGAAAAAGAAATCTTGAACAGAACGTGACAATTTGCTTTAACAATATTATAAACATGACCCCATGTTATTAAATGTCTACACTAAAACTGTCATTTTAGTTTTGAAGCTAAACTTATATTCTTTACTTTTAGTTTAACATTCTTCAATATTTTACTAAAACATACTGCTTGGTTTTTAATTGCCCCCCCTCCTTCCGCTGCCCTGATTGGCTACGGATGACCTTCAGGAATTAACTATTACATGTGTACGGGGCGCTACCGAAGTAAACAAACAGGATTCTTGTCCACTAAGTTAAAAACTCTGGTCTCTTCCATGCCCCAGCAGAGACACTTTCTAAATGAAGCGAATGAACTTTCTAAATGAATACATGAATACAGATTTTTAAATATTTTAAGCACATCATAACTAAGTAGTAGTAACAGCTGTGAATTTTTCAGAAGCCTCGCCCAGTGTTTCCCAAACTTCTCTCATGATGAGAATCTCCTGGTGGAGTTGTTCCTGAATCCCAACTAAGAAGTGCTAAGCTAGAATTTTTGGGAACATATAGGTAAAATTTGAACAACTCCACCAGGTGATTCTCACCATGAGAGAAGTTTGGGAAACACTGGCCTAGAGTGAGTCCATACTTGGATGAGCTGACAGTGGGCTTGATGAATTAAAAGGCGATGAAAAAGCACACACACACCTGTAACGGTATTTAAGCCCTCCGTTAACAAAACACTAGGAGGGCGAGTGGCGAGTGGCGAGGGGCTGGCGGTCAATAAGGGAAATCTGCCTGTCATGACCGTTTTCTCCTTTATTCCTTTAAACCGAAACAGCCCCGAGGCTTGAGGGGCCCCACTGGCCGCGCCCCCCAAATATAACAACCCCGGTTACTCCTAACGCCACAGCTCAGGAATGTCCTCCGGGAAAAACCGGGGCGGCTGGTACAATGCCGAAATCCCAGAGCTTGGTCCTAAATCCAATCGATTTCATCTTTCTAAAGACAGCAGGGTGCGGAATGACTATGGGACGTTCAGCACAGCGCCGAGATGGCTTCAAACGACCGCCGAAGGGTTCGAATCAGCGGGGGAGGGGTAAACGGTCCCCCGCGCGCGCCCCCGACTCCCCACCCGCCGCCCACACCCTCCACGCGCGCGCGGCCACAGGTTTCCCAGTGCTCCCCGGCCTCCGCGAGGCGACAGCCGGAGCGCTCGGGAGGGCGCTACCCAGCGGATCCATCACTCAGCACACACGCTCGGGGACCCCCAACTGGACGCGCTAGAGAGGAAGGGAGAACCTTTCACAGCGAATAGCGCCCTCACCCCTCTGCAGCTCCGCCTCCCGTCCTCGCGTCGCCGCTGCGGCCCGCCCAGGCCCGCCGCGGAGGCTCACGGGACACGTAGTACGCCACGCCCACCTCCTCCTCTCCCCACCCGTCCAAGCTCCGGCTCCCGGGGCCCACTTCCGGTTTGCTGGCGTGGCCCCGGCGCCGAGAGCACGGACCGCGGCAGCCCCCTTCCGGTCGGGTCCAGCTCGCCACCAGCCCCTTTTCGGCCGCGTTTCCCTGCCGCGCGGAGCGGCCCGAGTGGGAGCGAGGGGGCCGGCGCCAGCGGTCCTGGGCCCCGCGCGCGCGTTGCTGGGTAACGGGCCTGCTCCCGGCGGCGGCGCCTCGGCCCCTCCTGCGCCGGCTTTGCCACTCCTTCCCGATCCTCCGGGCCCAGCCCACACTGGTCGGCCCTGGTGCAGCGGAGGCCGAAGCGATGGGAACCCCTCCGCGGTGTGCCCGGAGCGGCGGCCTTCGCCGGGGGAGCGGCGTCGTCTTCGAAGAAACCGGAAGCCCGTGGTGACCTCTGGCGACCCGTTTCCGAACGAACGCTGTGGAATCGAAACTCCGCGGCCCTCCGTCGCCGGCCTCGGGGGTGAGTGAGTGAGTGAGCGGCTGTGGCCGGGGGAGGGTCGCGGGCAGCGCCGGGACCAACGGCCACCGCCGCCGCCGTGGCCGCCCCGGGGACGGGCCCCTTTCTGCGGCTGCCGAGCCGCCCGCGCCTGGGCATCCCTTCCCCCTGCCGGCCCCGCACCCTCGCCGGGCCGGGCCCTTCTGGGTCCTTCGCCTCACTTCTCCTTATTTTCGTCCCGGACTCTGATTGACGGGGGGGCAGCTTCGGTTTTATGTCATTCATTGAGGCCGGCTTCTGTACCTAAAACGTAAGAGGGACGCGTGGCCGGGAGGGCAGTGGACTACACCCCCTCCTCATTGTCGAGGTCAACGGTGAGTATCCTCTCGCCAGAGTCACACCTGTGCGTTGTAGGGTCTTCCATCTTCTGCTGAGGGACTGCAAACTTGCAAGGTAGGCAGAGACCCCGTTCCTGCAGTTAGGGAACGCAAATAAGATCCTCGCGATACAGGTTAAAAAAAAAAAAGAAAGAAGATTGTTCCGGGATGTGTGGTTAGAAATAGGCTAAGGTGATAAAAGACAGTGACTTGTACGAGGTTTGAAATGGACCCGTGCCTCTGCAATGTGGAAGACGCTGTTTTATTTTTGTAATTTTTAATTGGATTGAGCAAGATCCCGTGGCAGAATTTAAATTCCAGTTCTCCAAACATGCCGGATCTGGTTTCCCAACCTGTTGTGATCACTCACCACTACAAGCATGTGTAAAGTAGGAGTTGTGCGTCTCTCACAGGGTTGTTATAGTTTTAATGCATGAAGAAAAAAAATAAAGTTGTAATGCGCTTTTGTTTCTAAAATCGGAAGTTGTGTACAAATGTCAAGTTTTAATTTAAAGAGACAGTATAGTGTCATGGGAAATGCGCTGGAATAAGTCAGAACATTCACTCAGGGTCTGACTGCTGATTTTTCTAATTATGCATTTTGCACTGGTTAAGAGATTAAATCTCTTCGTTTTCTCTGTCTCTCCAATGGTATGAAGGATTACTCTCCAAGGTACCAAAGCAAAGTCTCTAAGAGTTTTGCCGACTCGAGTCAACTGGTTGATTTTAATTTCTGGCTCCCACACTTTATACTTTTGTCTTTCTCAGTTGCTCCACCTGTGATAAGAATTTCCTGCCTACCTCAGAGGTCTTAATGTAGATTTAATGAATCGTTAAAAATAAATGAGTTTCCCTTAAAGACAAAGCATATTGCCTGACATACTATTGTATAAACACTTGGTAAATATTACCAACACAGAAGCTGTCATGATTAATAAAATGTTGTGACATTTTTTCATAATTCATGAAGTAACAGAGCCAATGTGGTATTTATATTCTGTATTATAGTTGTTATATCACTATCAGAAAATACTCATTGCTCATACTACAATAGTAACATTTAGTGCACTACATAGGTGCTCAATTACATTGAGATGTGTTATTTTATGAAAGGAATGAAAAGAAGTAGACTGCACTTTATACCTATGTTAACCCTGAAAAATTCTTATGATTCCTGGTCACAAAAATTCATTTCTGGACTGATGCAGTTAGTGAGATAACTCAGTGAAGGTTATAAAAATGAGAATGAAGTTTTTCATACTATAGAAGGTTATATCTGGTGCTAAGTAAGCACATTTGGGGACACTCACTGAGTTAGAGAGCAATTGAGTGCTATAGTACCTAGATTGAATTGTTAGGCCATTCCTGTATCTATTCATTAAAACAGAGAAAGGAAGTCTTGCTTCATAGTATCTGGACTAACTTTATGAAGGGATATTCTGGCTTTTCAGAGGTAGAAATGCTAATTGAAATAAGCCAGTCAAATATGAAAGACAAATACCATTGATCTCACTAATATGTGGAATCTAATGAACAAGAAAAACAACAGAATGACAAAGTTCAGAGGGTGGGAGGGGTACTGGATAAAGAAAGGTGAAGGGATTAGCTAAAGAATGCAGTTTTTACATAGCCCGTGGACACAGACTATAGTGATGAGGGCAGCAGGTAAAGAGAACATCTGCAGTATGGTTAACAATTAAAAAAAAACTTAGGGAAAAAAAAGAGGTAATGTAGAATAGAAAAAAAGAAAGTAACAAACAGGCCTTTATTTAAACCCTACATGTCACATACTGTCAGTGATTTTAGGCAAATTTACTTCACCTCTGAGCCTCAGTTTTCTCATCTGAGGTAGTCACCATTCTAGTCAAGTTTGGTGTGGACTAGTATTACATACCTTTTACTCAGTTCCTGGCAAAAATGTGCATTCCCTTATATCTATAGGTTGCCATTCCATGTTCAGATTAAAATTTTGCCTTCACAATTTAGGAAGGTGGCATCTTAGTGATGTAGTTCAACCCTATCATTTTATTGGTGGGAAAATTTAGATCTGGGGAATTAAAGTAATACTCAAGACAACAGATTGTATACTAGAATCTAGGTTTCTGAATCTTGGGCCAGAGTTCTTTCTACCACTGAGCTCTGCCTTGTCCAGATTATTTTTGGGAAAATCAGAATCCATGCTATGTTGCCTCTAAGAATGTTGCCTCTAAGAATGTCAGTAGCCAGGCTGACACTCTATCCACTTAAAAAAGAAAAGCATATATTTGGCCCTGGCTGGATAGCTTGGTTGGAATGTTGTCCCCATATGCCAGGATTGGGGATCTGATCCCTATTCAGAGATAGAGCAGCAGTCAGCCAATGAGTGCTGGAGCTACAAGTCAGTGTTCCCTTCTCTCTCACTCTCTTAAAAAAAAAAAAAAAAAAAAAAAAAAAAAAAAAAAATTCAATAAATGAAAAATTTTTTAAAGGAAATACTAAATTTGGAAGCTTATTTGGGTTCATATCCCAGCTTTGCCACTGATTAGTTATATATCTGTAATCAAAGTATTTAATGTTTCTAGAATTAATTTGTTTATAAATTAGAATAATAGCACTAAATAGAAAGATGCATGTGGAAGCACCAGTGCCTGACATACAGTAAGGGAGCAATTAATGGTAGATATGATGATGGAATATGAGATGATCATATTTATTCTAGAAAAAAGACCAGTCTGTTAGAAGGTATTTCTTTGTTTTCTAGAGTCTCGCACTTGTATATGTAGCATATCTCAACTGAGGGTCCTCTCAGTGTTAACTGTAGTGAAGACTGAAATTTAAGATGTTAAAAAATAATTCTGATTAACAATATTTGAGTCTATTTTTTTCTTTATGCCTCTCCCATAGCCTCAGGAACTGTTTCCTATCCACCTGATCTGGCAAATTGTGGTTTGTTTCTCCATTATTATTGCAATATGTGATTTTATGAGATATATATATATATATTCAGGTAACCAAAATAATATTTCTTATACACAATGCTTGGAATTTGCTGAGGGGCAAGAGCTATGAGAGCATCTTTTGTCATAATACAGGAGTGGGCAAAGTAGCTCTACAGTTGTAATACAAATAAATACTACAGCAATTAAAAATAATGCAAGACGACACTTTCACAAACTCATGAATGTAAACCTACTTTTGCCCACTCGTGTATTTGGTCTCATCCTCAATTCCTGAAATCACATCAGAGCCATAAAAGTGAAATGGGCATCTTGTTATTTACTGGTGTAACAAACTCTTTCCACAGAACTGGGTTTATGTTAATGAGAGATGACTTTTTTTTTTTTAAATATATTTTTATTGATTTTTTACAGAGAGGAAGGGAGAGAGAGAGAGAGCTAGAAACGTCGATGAGAGAGAAACACCGACCAGCTGCCTCTTGCACACCCCCTACTGGGGATGTGCCCGCAACCAACACACATGCCCCTGACCAGAATCGAACCCGGGACCTTTCAGTCCGCAGACCGACACTCTACCACTGAGCCAAACCGGCTTCGGCAAGAGATGACTTTTGTTCAGCACCTCAGGATGATGGCTGGTTGCCAGGAGAACCACCCATCTGATTAGAGGGTTGGAAATAATAGTCCCACAGACTTCAGGATAGTGGAGAGGAGCTGGAGTTTGAATCAAATCAATTATGCCTATTATGTAATGAAACCTCCATAAAAACATAGGCAGAGTGAAAACAGATTCTGCATCTGTGTTTACATCTCAGCTCTCCATTTACTATGGAAAATTAAATTCCTTCTATATCAGTTTCTTCACCTATAATACTTTTAGAACAGTGACTGACACTAGTAAACAATCAAATGTCATCTCAAGCAAGGACTGGTAAATAAAAACATTTTTCAAGCATCAATTATTAATCTAAGATACATAAAACACCATTGAGAGTCTTCATTTAGAATGCTTTATTTGGTGTCTTATTTTAAAGGATTGTTTAGGTTCTCTTATGGCCTACAGTCCCTGTTACTCTGTCTTTCCCATGAGATTTTAAAAGGTTTCAGCTACTATTTCTCCTTCCATCGTGTTTTTTCAGGAATATAACTCAGGTGGGGAAGTAATGCTGAATCTAACAACAAAAGTAGATGGAAAGAGTGAGTATATTTTAACTAATTAAGTAGTTGGCTTCTCTTAGGTTTTAGACTCAGAGTTTGATTTGAACCCTCTTATCATTCTTCACTCAATAATAAATATTGAGTATCTTCCACACAATGATGAGTTGGGGACATGATGAGCAAAAAACAGATGTAACCTCTGCCATCACAAAGCTAATGTTCTACTAGATTTAATTTTGAGCAAATTGTTTTACCCTTCAAATTCCAACCATGAATTTAAATAATATTAAAAGAATGTAGTACATGGTACTGGGACATAGTGGACACTCAAATGTTAATTCCTTTGTCTCCTACTTTGAATGTATAACAAATATAATCAGTTACTAATATGGAAAGAATATAGTGGAGTATGCATTAAAATATCTAATAATAAGGTAATGAATTATACTAGAAGAGTTTTTGAAAATTTATATTTTGAGAGGCTATAAACTTGCTATTTATATCTAAGAATGGAAATTTTGATGAGGAAATATATGGGTATAGAGTATAAAACTGTTTATTCTTTGACTGAAAATGGTGTTTCAAGCTTTTTATAAAACTTACTAATAGCTGAAATGGTTTTATATGATTTATAGATATCAACTATTTTAATATTCTTAAAAACTCTTATGAAGTAGTTGCTATTACTTCTTATACTTTATAACTAAGGAAACTGAGGCAGAGAGGTTAAGTAACTTGCTCAAAGTCACATAGACACTAAGTAGTAGAGCTTGGATTTAAACCTGTGCCAGTCTGGTTTCGGAGTCCGTGCTGTTAACCATATATTATACTATACTGCCTCTGAAATTAACAGGAATTTTGAAGCATCGCCTCAATATTCACATTATTCTAAATGTTCTTTTTCCTGTTCATTTATTCAGTGAGGCATTTATATTATACATATTTACTGTTTTAAATAGCTGTCATGGATACACTGGTAGAAGATGATATCTGCATTCTAAATCATGAAAAAGCCCATAGGAGAGAAACAGTGACTCCGGTCTCAATATATTCAGATGAGTCTGTCGCTTCACATTTTGCCCTTGTCACTGCATATGAAGACATCAAAAAACGACTCAAGGATTCAGAAAAAGAGAACTCTTTCCTAAAGAAAAGAATAAGATTTTTGGAAGAAAAGGTAATTATTTATTACCTTCATTACGTTTTGTGACCCAATGAACATTTGAAAATATTTAAAATATTTAATATTTTTCTGTCCTGTCTTCCATGGTTGTACTAAATTTCCAAGGATAACTCACTGCTAACTTCAAAACCCTGAGTATTGTACTGATAGCTAGCACTGTTTTACATACGCTGTGCTGCGGGAATATTTATAGAATAGGATTTAGCAATTTGGAGGGATATATGCCAGATATTTTTCTTAACCTCTTTCAGATTGCATTACTTTCATAATTGCAAATTTTTTATTCAGGATTTTAAAATCTGTGTAAAAGTTATAGCTAATAAAGGAAATTAAGTGTCAAAGGAGAAAGCGCCTGGAACAGTGTTTTAATATGCTTAATATCTTCGCCAGGACTTATATCTTCTTTACCTCAACATTCTCTTTTGCTTTTGAACACACATAACAAGAATACTGCTTTTTAACTGATAAATTCATCTACTTACCTTTCTCCTGAAGTAACCTGACACTTTTAAATGTTATAAAATATACAAGCAAGGTAGATGATTCAATTATGAATCATCAGTTCTACTTGGCTTTGTGTATTAGGACATTTTCCTTACCCATTTGTTTTTGAGTTTTAAAGTTTTAGCTTAATTTGTTTCTTCAGATCAGCATATTTGTATTTCACAAGCAGCAGCTTCAGTAGAGGGGGAAGGAAATGTGTTCCTTAGCAAACACGGAAATGAATTATCTGCTTGTGAAAACTCGAGGATGGGGTTTGATAAAGTTTAATTCTTTTGGAGGAAAAAGAGGAGTCTGTTGTAAAAATTATTCACAATTTCTTTGTATTCATATGAATTTACTTTAGTGGTAATGAAATGAATTTGTGACATTCTGGGATAAAATGAGAAAAAGTAACATTTTGGAGCTCGTAGCTGTGTGTGTTTTAAAGTTCAGAATAATATTGGAAATATTTCTGTAGTTTGTGGTCAATAATCTATTAATTCCCACTCTGGAGTAATATAGGATTTAATGAACTAATCCATCCTTTCCTTGACATTTTTTGTGATAATGGAAAGTAAATACTATGACTTGGAAAACAACTAAAGACTAAAAAAAATGATGTACTGTGTTTTAGTATGATAGATGAATATGCTATAAAACAGATACTGCAAAGTATAAAATATTTTAATAAGTACAGTCAAACCTCAGTTCTCAAACATATTCCATTTTGAACAGTTCATTTCTCAACCCGGTAACTTTCATGCTGATACCTGTATAATCAGTCACTCATCTCTCAGGTGACAAAGGAGAGAATGCATGATTATGAGTCAGGTTATCACTAAACCTTATGATGTAACATCTCAAGAAATTGTGCTGTGAATATTTTTTTTTCCTCTTATTGCTCCTTATTATGATTAAATTTTCATTTTTAGTGTACATTTCATTTCCTTTTTGTTAAATTTTCATTTATATTTCATGTCTTCCTTTTTAAAGCATTTATTCATAGTATTTATAAAACAAACAGTACATTAGACATGTACTGTGTATAATAAAGATTAAAACAAAATAGGGAGTCATTTTGGGGTCTGGAAGAGATTCATTCAATTTACATTATTCCTAATTAGGAGCCCAGCACTCAATTCCAAATGGTGAGGCCCCGCCCACCCTCATGTCACGGTGTAGGGCCCTGCCTCCCTCTTCAGGCCCCTAGGCCTCTGCCAGTGGGCCCTGCCTCCCTCTTCACCCCTTGAAGCAGCCATGGCCGCTGCTGATCAGGCCCTCCCCCAGTGCAGGCATGTGGAGGCCCCGCCGCCCCACCCCGGACACTGCACACGTAACCTCCTCCTGTCTGGTTGACCCGTTTCGGCATCTGGTTAATTAGCATATTTCATATACATATATATATGGAAAATAATTCCTTTTTCAGTCAGTCTTCCAGAACAAATTGAGTTTGAGAAAGGAGCTTCTATTGTAAAAGCATAAAATAGAATACTTTAAAAAATATTCTGTACTTTTTTGCTTTCTTAATCAGTAAAAGTTAATTATATGGAAGTGAAATGTTCAGATAATTACAGTCCAGGCTTTATCCCTGTATTATAATGATTAAAGTAAGATGTGATGCCATGAGAAGACTAATTGTTTTATGTAGAATACCCTTTTAAACTTTCTCTTACTCTGTATCATTAGCTTACAGACGCTTTATTAGATGAAGAAACAAGTTCGGTGGGACGAGAACAAGTAAATAAGGCCTATCATGCATATCGAGAGGTTTGCATTGATAGAGATAATTTAAAGAGCAAATTGGATAAAATGGTAAGTTGGTTTGAAAAGAATACTATATATTGCAAATGAATTTTTTCATTCAAGATGTTGACGTTAGATATACAAAATATTTATTAAATAAAAATTTAAAAATAAACATGCGCAAGGCAAAAATAAAAAGTATTAATAGCCTTAGGTGGTTTGGTTCAGTGGATGGAGCGTTGATCTGGGGACTGAAGGGTCCCGGGTTCAATTCTGGTCAAGGGTCAATTCCCAGTGGGGTGCATGCAGAAGGCAGCCAAACAGTGGTTCTCTCTCTCATCATTGATGTTTCTGTTTTTCCTTCTCCCTTCCTCTCTGAAATCAATAAAATACATATTTTTAAGAAAGTATTAACAGTAATGTTTACAACTTAATTCTATGCAAAATAAATCTATATATATATATATAAAAAACCAGTGACCAGAATGCCGGAATGACTGCAACGACCGGTCATTACGATGCCCATGGTGGCCAGTGAACCTGCAGATCAGGAAGTGGGGCCAATCAGCCAACCTCCTGCAGCCCCTTACCTTGGCCACTCAACCCCTATCGGGCAGGGCTGGCTGACCAACTGCCTGGAGCCCTTCCCCCTGCCCATCCATCCCCCAATGCCCCAATCCACTGCCCCGATGGGCCCACAGCTCCGCCCCCCCCACTCCAATCAGGGACAGGGCTGGCTGGCTGGCTGGCTGTGGCCCCTCCCCCTGGCCTTCCCCACCCCTGATGGGCCCCCAACACCTCCCCACTCTCTGATCAGGTCTGGAAGAGATTCATTCAATTTACATTATTCCTAATTAGGAGCCCAGCACTCAATTCCAAATGGTGAGGCCCCGCCCACCCTCATGTCACGGTGTAGGGCCCACAGCCCCTCCCCATGGCCAGCCCCACCCCCAATCAGCCCCCACCACCCCATAGGCCTGTGGCCCCTCTCTCCAGCCAGCTCCGCCCCTGATTGTCCCCCTAATGGGGGCAGGCTGACCGGCCAATCTCCAGCCGTCTCCTCCTCTTCACAGGCCCAGCCCCTTTCTGCCCTGATTGGGGCCAGGCTGTTTGGACCCCACCCATGCACCAATTTGTGCACTGGGCCTCTAATAGTATACATAATGATGTTAGGACTTAAATACATCTAACACCACTCACTTATTTTGAAAAATAAGGACATGGTAGAATTTCTCAGTATTTTTTTTTTTAAGGCCAGGGAATAATATGTCCCAAGTTGGAAAAAGAAAAAAAAGTGAAAAACTTAAGTTCATTTTCCCACCTTACTTTTAAAAAGCTAGAATCAGTTTTTTAATGTCAACCTGAAAATTAATATATATCACCTGCAGATTTTTTAAAATGTAATTTGCCATTTTTCCTACTTAACTAGAATAAAGACAACTCTGAATCTTTGAAAGTATTGAATGAACAGCTGCAATCTAAAGAAGTAGAACTCCTCCAGCTAAGAACAGAGGTGGAAACTCAGCAGGGTATGCCACTTACTTGCTATAAATATTTTAATGGGATTAGTACATTTTTTCCGTTCCTATGCTATATCCATGACCACTTTATCTGTATGCTACAGCTTTAACTTATTTAATTTTTAGGCTTATATTACCTATTCTGCTTTCAACTCTTAACTTTCCTTAGCTATAAATTGCACTATTCTTGGGGGAGAGGAGACAGAAGTTTTTAATTCAGGGCTAGTTTGTGATAAAGTAGATGAAGAAAGTAGAGCCCCATTCTTGTCAAAACCTCTTGCCCGCTGGTATGTTCTGGCTTTTCTTCCCACTAATCTTTTGTCCACTGTTAGACATGTTGTGGACTGGTTACAATTATGTGTTGTTGTGTTTTGTTTTTTTTAATTTCTGAAGGTTATTAAAATGTGCAGATGAGCAATGAGTTGCTAAGGTGAAAAGTTAGATATGTGGGATATGAGTATAGCATGTTTACATGAACATTCTAATGAAACAAGCTGAAAAGTAGGCCTCTGAGAGACCTTTTGATAGGAGATTGGGACTTTTTTTAGGTAGACTAAGGAACAGTCAGGATAAGTCAGTATTCAGTTGATCGAGGGGTCTACAGTGGAAGTTTTATGAATAAAATTGTTTTGACAATGTTCTCAGTGTCAAACTTTATACTCTGAAAGGACTATGTGGAATGATTAGCAGAGTGAGCCTCAGTTTACTCACTTTATTTAATTTTTGTCACTGTCTTAACCTTGACTTATATACAGATTATTGATCTGTCTATAATTTTAGCATATGCTTGACTAGTATATATCTGGAAGTTCCATACTGACCAATTTGTACTTTAACCTAAACAGAAATTCAGGGATAGGGGTGGAAAATACATTGTAAAACAAGACTTGCTAGATTTCTTATTCTAATTAGCATATATTTTTAAAGTAATTACTGTTTTTAAAAAAACTACTAACTTTATATATTTTATATTAGTTTTTCTATTATCTGCATTTTACTAGCATAACTTTTTTGAAATATAAGTAGAAGACAGAAAAAAAAAATTGTGATGTCTCTCCTTTTTTTTCTAGTGATAAGGAATTTAAATCCACCTTCATCAAACTGGGAGGTGGAAAAGTTGAGTTGTGACCTGAAGATCCATGGCTTGGAACAAGAACTAGAACAGATGAAGAAAGAATGTAACAATCTCAGAATAGAGCTACAAAAAGCCAAACAAACGGTACTGCAGAGTTAAATTGAGAATTTCAGATTCTGTGTGCATTATATGAATGACTTAACTAACTTTAAAAATCACAGAGTTAACAAATTCTTAGAGTTACATTCTCTGAAAAATTCACCTTTATCCTCCTGTTTGTGCTGAAATATGATATACTGTATACTTTAGTATAATCCCAGAATTATATAATTTTGTTGTATAAAAACTAACTTTTATAAAGCTTATTATTTATCAATTTATTAAAGCTATTCTTTCAAACTCCCTTTCCTTCAATTTCCTTAAATCATTTTTCTCTGGTTTAAAGAGAGCTCGGTTTTAAGTTTCCGTTTTATTTTCCTTAATTTAATAAATATAGACACCACAAGAGACAACTTGATTTTTAAAATTTTTAAAAAAGACTTTACAGAGGCCAATCATTTTCAGAAGTCTGATACTTTGGGGCAAGCTTAATTCTCAGCAAATAGCTGAGAATTTAAGAATTTGGGGCGGGGGGGCGGGAGGGAGAGGGAGAGGGAGAGGGAGAGCGAGAGGGAGAGGAAAGCAAACCCAAAACACCCTGCTTAGCTGCTTAATTGTCGTTAGCTTTAAGTCTTCCAAGAGTCTGTTTACTAATACTTTACATTGGGTTCTAACAAGTTTGGATGCATGTTTTCCGATGTCATGGCAAACAGTGCTGAAGATGAAGAGATGATAGAGAAGCAGGGTGGTGTCAGAGCAGTGCAGCAAATGCAAATTTTAAAAGTTATTACAAGAAATTTGAAAACTTAGTAGTATAGATTCAGATAGCATTTATATGCATTATATATACAGTCATGTATTTCAAACTAAGGTACCTAGTTGGATAATTATTTCTCAGCTCAACCATTTTGCCCATCTGAGCATTTCAGCACTATTGAGGAGCTGAGTCACGTACCCCAGGTGCCTCTGGGATGTCACTAACTAAAAGAAGACTACTTCCAACACTTCCTGACAGCCAGCCAGGGTGTGCCTCTGAATCCCAACTGTCCTTATATAGAGCTCATTGCTATAGTCAGTCTTTATCGAAGGTGACCACTAGTTAAGAATGAGCCAGGAATCAAGAGTAATACAGCATCCTGCCTTGGCCTTGACCAAATGAATTCCTGTGAACTGAACAAAGAACTTGTCTTGGAAACAGTACAAAAATTAGTCAACTGTTGTTACAGTCAAAATGTTTCCTTTTTCCTATTCGACATCTCAAGTTGATTTTCCCAGCTTTGAACCTGTGACTATGTTCCACAATTCCTTCAAAGGCTTTTAGCAGCCTTTCCCACAAGCCCAGCTGCCAGTAGCCCTGAGAGTCTTCTCAAAAAGATGTACTTGCAACTAAAGATCTGCACCTTGAAGTTCTGAATTATAACTGTCAAAAGCTCAGAATGTACAATTATACATTCTACTTCAAATAATTTGATAGCTTTTATACATAATAGATATTTCCTTATAGAGTAGGAAGCAACACCATAAAATCATAAAAATAAAACTTGGCTCATAATTGTATGTATATGAATTATAGTTCAGTTATTACTCTTTTCCACTAGATGGTGCTAGGGGATAAATTTGCTCTTAGTTTAATTCATCTATCATAAATCACAGAAACAGACTTAAAGATAGAAGAAACTTTATCACTTCTTACTACTGATGAAACTGAAACTGAGAGACTAAGAAACCTTGAGTCTAAGGTGAGATGGGGTGAATAATCTTTTTATAAAAAGGTCAGCATCTCATTGGTATTTATTTATTTATTTGGCAGGGAAAGGTGAGATATAAAGTTAAAAATGCTTACAACTACTATAAGAAAATAACCAGGAAAAGAAAAAGTGGAAATGCTTAATTCATCAAGGGTTCCAGGTTGAAATCTTACCTTGACATTGTGGGATGTGTACTTTTAAATGCTGTTTCAAAGGTGGTGGTAGCATGAGAATAAAAAAGCAAGACAAAGAGAAATATATGTTTACATTAATCTTGCTTATATCTACTATAGCCATATTTATAAATATTTTTAAGATAGTACTTTCTGTGAAACATATACCACCATCTGAAAAGTGATACAGCATCCTACATGAACATAACAGTGTTTTTTGGTTTGTGTGCTTAAATATTTAGTGAATTCATTTGATTAGTGTTTGGTATTAATGAGGTCAAGGTTCCAGGGTCAGTTCCACTATGGTCCTTTTAGACCAGTGGTACCTTTCGGGCCTCACGGACCACCAGTGGTCCATGGACCTTCGGTTGGTGACCACTGTTTTATACTTTCTGTAGCCCCCAATATTCCAGCCCTTGTTATCAAGTATAGTTGATACTTTGAGAAAAACAGCCACCATTGCCAAAGAAGTATAGGACACACTGGATCAGTAAAAGGGAGATGGTGTAGATGTTTGAGGTACCTAATAATGGCCCATTTACAATGTACTATAGTGTACTGTAAGGTCTGAGAAGTCCCATCTAGTACAAGAAGCTGTTTAATTTGAGCAATGTTTCCCAAGCCATGGGCCTGCTCCTTTATGGGAAACTCCCACATCATATGGCACCACTTAGGAAACAGACCCATACTGCCTTTTAGAAAACTGGCAAACTAATGACTGGCCAGGAACTGGATTTTTTAATATTAGAGACAATTCATTTGTGCTTAATGCTAGTTTACATTAAATTTTTCTGAATTGTTAGGCAATAGCTGAAAAAATATTTTTCCAACCCAAAGGTCATAATTTTAAAAATATATCATTAGCTTTAAAAATGAAGTGGCTCACTTAGTTGATCGGGCATGCACAAGGAGGTTACTGGTTCAATTCCTGGTCAAGGGCACAGGACTGGATTGCTGGCTCCATCCCCAATGGCAACCGATGCTACACTCTCACATCAATATTTCTCTTCCTTCCTCTTTCTTATAAAAAAAGAAAAAGAAAAGAAAAGGCCAATAAACTATTCTTTTAAAAATGAAGGTTTCAATTCTATATTAAGTATACATTAATTTAAATGCATATTTTTAATCAGTGATACAAAGAAGCTAAAAGTGACCTGATCTGATTCCTTTATCTCTTATGGAGAACAGGAAAGAAAAATGTCCAAGGTCATATGCTATGGATCTTTTGTGAGTCTTGGGCCAGTTCTCTTTTCTCCTATTGTGCTCCCCAAGATAACACCTTAAAAGTATTTTTAGTTGGTATTTTCTGAATAATCAGAGATCCAAAAATGCTTTAACTCCTATAATAGAAAATATTTTAATATTTCACTCTCCCAAATTTACAGTACTCACAAAGTCCTTAACAGCTTTTTAATGTTCCATGTTAAAACATATTTAGATTATGTAAATAAAAATATTAAAATTAAATTTTGTTCTCTCAGCTTATACTGGCCACTTCTGCCAAGTGAATTATACCCATGATAGTGATTTTTGTTACAGATCCTTAAATGAGGATGCACTGAAAACAAAGTGTGTTACAGAGTTGTCTTGAACATATTTACTTCTTAATATGTTGTTTTTTTCTGTCATATCTATAATCTACACCACTAAAACTTAAAATATATAAAAGATTTTATAGACTTATTTATGTGAAATGAGGAAGTTTAGCCTGATATATATATATATTTTTTAAATATATTTTATTGATTTTGTACAGAGAGGAAGGGAGAGAGATAGAAAGCTAGAAACATCGATGAGAGAGAGAGTCATCGATCAGCTGCCTCCTGCACACCCCCTACTGGGGATATGCCCGCAACCAAGGTACATGCCCTTGACGGGAATCGAACCCGGCTCCCTTCAGTCCCCAAGCCGACGCTCTATCCATTGAGCCAAACCGGTCTCGGCTAGCCTGATATATTTTTAAAATAACCTGTTAAATTTTGGTACTTTTAAAAAATATCAAAAAGTGAAATATAAATAAAACTTCATTTTCTCGTAGAATTCATTCACATGTAATTTGAATGAGCTTTACTTTGTTATCCTTTTTTAGAATGTAGACTTTAGATTTCAGAAGTATACTTTATAAGATTCCAAATTCTTTTACATAAGAGCATTTTTTAAAGCAATGATTAAATAATTATAATTGATTTTGAAATATTTGAAATTGTGTTTTTTATGTAGGTTTGGAGGTATTTTTATAAAATTGAACATCAAATCCAGTTTATGCTGTAGAGTCATAGACAACTATTTGAAAGATGTCTCTGGTATTGAGAATAAATAGAATGTAACAACTTTTAAACTTTTTTAAATGACAGGATCCATCCCAAGACAATCTGCAGAGCAGAGATCTCCAAAGACTAAGCATTTCAAGGTATGATTATTCAGCATTCAATTATAATACATATTTGACTATTTCCATAGACTACTTTGTATATAGGTACTTAAGTTGTTTTTGTGTGTGTTTTTTTGACTTAGCCTTAAAAACGGATATTATTTGGGTACTGCGTGTAATGTCTGATCACAGTATATAAAACACATTTAACTGATACTTAAATATGCTTGAACTTGAATAGTATAAAGGTGCATAATGTAATGCCTTAAGACAAAATTTTTGAACATTCAATAATATTTTAGTTAGAATATTAGAGAGTTAACTGTGTAGAAGTGTTCTGTAATAAATCCTAATTTATACATAGAGAACTATGCATTTCTTACACAGTAGTATCACTTATCTTAAGGATAAACGTGGACAGCCTTAGTCTTTGGTATAACATAAATTCTAAGAGAATTATCCTCCTTGGCTAAGAACAAAAGCAATAAGCATATGTCTGAAAAAACAAACTATGTACATACTTTAAAAATGTTATTGCTAAAAAATGCTAACAATCAGAGGTAAATATAGAATGTCAATTAAGAAAAGTGGGCTTTTACACAATTTTACTTGGTAAGCAGGACATCTACTCCTTCTTGAAACGTGGATAAAAAGGTCTCATTACACTTAAGATTTAGAATTATGAAATATTATAGTGGGATTAATAAGGTGGTGTTGACAGTATGCTTATGTGGGTGTTTGATAAATGTATGGTGGTGATATGAAAAATATTACCCCACCAAAGCCAGTCAGACTGGATAACTAAAAGATGCCTTTGAGCAACAGCACATTAGAGTGAAGTAAATTCTTGTTGAACCCATTTCCTCCAGTAAAATTCGGTAACCTAGTTTGCCAAGTTGCCGTGAGAATGCGAAGCACTCAAACAACTTTGTTTGTTTTATCTATTGTTTTTAGGGTTTCATTTTGGATGTTTCAGTGTTGCATCTCAAGTGTTTGAGTAGTTTTATAAGTTCTTTATAGAAACCATATATATTAGTAGGATTTTGCTTGCATGGCATTTAAAGCAAAACTTAACTTCAATCCCTGTTGGGTGGGCAAAAGGGGGTCAGTGTTGCAGTGTAATCTCAAGGATGCCTTGATAAGTGAAGATTAGTTGGAACTCTGCTAAAGATTTGTGCGTGATAGCTTTCTTTTTCTAATCTCACTTAAGTAATATTTAAACATTTTATTTAAGTAGATTTATTTAAATAGATAAAATTAAAAATAAATTTGTAACACCTTGAAGACTATAGCACTTTTAGTGTTAGTTGTAAAGTAACTGCCATTACTTTGTTATCCACAAGAGGGAGAGCTTGTTCTTAGTAATTTCAGATATTTATATCTGTAGTTTTCAATCCAGGTGACATTAAGGACAAAAGAAAAAGACTAGTTAGATGTTCAACTTCGTGACCTAGCTGTTAGTTTAGCATAATCTATTAGTATAAGCAGTCTTCATTAAACTGAATTGGAAAATCTGTATCAGACATTGCTTTTAATACCTCTATGATAATTCTCTTTTATATGCTTAGCTATTTTGAATGTTTAAAATATGTTTGATATTCCAGTATCCAAACACTATCTTGGGTATTTGCTTTCCTATAAGTCAGGTACTGATTTACCATCTCATGACAATAATGGCACACTATTTTTAAGCAGTATGATTCATACTGTGACTGCATGAATTATTAGCACACATACAGTGTTTATATGTACTGCTATGTAATGAGTAACTCTGGAAAGCACACCAAATACCCAGGATTGCACCAAGGTCCAACAGCTCTCTTCACAATGAAGATAGGTTCCTATGTGAAATAGTCAATGTAGCACCATCTCAGATGTTTACTGGTGAAGTAGAGGTGATTAACTAATTTTTGTGACATAATTATTTATACCTTTCAAAAACCTGCAAAAAGCCCTGTGATTTAAATATATATATATATTTTATTGATTTCAGAGAGATAAGAGGGGAGATGAGGGAGAAACATCAATGATGAGAATCATTGACCAACTACCTCCTGCAAATTATTAATGGATAAATAATAATTGTCTAGTTTTCAACTGTTTATACTTCATTTTCTGGGGGCGAACCCGCAACCTGAGCATATAACTTGATCTGGTGATCAAACCATGATCTCCTGGTTCATAGGTCAATGCTCAACCACTGAACCACACCAGCCGGACATCCCTGTGATTTTTAATGTACTGGTTAACAAGTGATGTTTACAACAGACTAAAACCTGCAAATTTCTCTCAGAGGCAGAGAAAGTATTCCACTGCTACTATTGAAAGCATTCTGAGTAGGATGGAATATTTTGATAAAAATATATATGTAACCTCCTTACATAATTCAAAATAATTGTTTTTTAATATGTCTGTTGCTTCTGTGATTAAAATAGGACATGAGATTTAAGTATCAAGAATAGTATTCCTTGAAATTTATTTTAAAAGGTTTTCATTTAAAGTTAGTTAAAAATTAAAGGATGAAGTGACATGTCTGTCCAATTTGATATCATTGCTCCTAAAATTACACTAATCTGTACAAAACAATAATGGTTATTTGAACACTGGTAACAATTGTTCTTACTCTCATATTTTATGTATTTTAGTACCGCAAAGGAAGAATATATGTTGTAGATTTTGATTTATTTAGTTAATAAAGAACCTAAAAAGGGAAAAAATCATGAATATCCAAATAAGAATATTTAATTGAAGATGAAACTTATAAAAAATTAAGTTTAAAACAACATAATGTCATATAATTGAGGAAAAAATACTTTTAATCATAAAAATGAGAGGCATTTGTCAAGTTTTTATTTCTGTTTCATATGATCCTCTCTCCTTAGTTTTTCCCCCGTACCAGGAAATCATCTGGCTTTTCATGTCTTAATGCTGTCATGTCACATTGGTTTAGTACCAACAGTATGAGACAGCCCAGTGAAACAGAAAAGAAAGGAATACAGGAAACCCAAATTTTATTTTAATGGGGCCTGGGTATACATTCAGCAATTGATATGAGTATTTCAATTCACAGTGTCAAAACAGAATAATCATAAGATAAATAAAAATTTAAAACCCATACATGAACATCACTTTAGTTTTGATCAGTTATAAATGAAAAACATACTCCTTACTATACAGTTGCACTGTAGTCTATGATAAAATCTCAATTCTGAGACAAGAACTATAGGAAACTCTGGTTAAAATACTTTTTTTCGTAATACTCTTTTTAGTATAGTTCTGTTAATTGCTAGAAATTAGGTCGGTGTTATTATTATGAATAAAGTCTTTTCACTTGTTATAATGCCCTAATTAAGTATCTTTCAATTATTTAATGAGGAAGTTTTAATTTACATAATATCAAAACTAATTCAAGCAGAAATGCAGATATAAGCATTTCTATTTTAAAGTTATGCTCTCTGTTCACAAAGAGAATGACCATTAACTTTTTTTAAAACCCCGTATTTCAGTGATGATGTGCAAAATGTATACTGGGAGCTGAAGAGAGAAATGTCTAATTTACATCTGGTGACTCAAGTACAAGTTGAACTACTAAGAAAACTGAAAACCCCAACTGCGATCAAGAAAGGCAAGTCAATGTTTGCCGGAAACCACTGATTCCAGCCAAAAGCTTGAAGAGCAACTAAGCTATCATATCTTATCAAAATCTCATCAAATGAGTTTGATAAGCCAAAGTATATATAGTATGTTCACAGCCTACCCAGTCTCTGGCTTCAGTCTCATACTGGTCAACTTCACACATAAAGGTGTTGCTGATGTGTTTTTTCTTCAGTACTGTACTCTTTCCCCTTGTGGCTTTTTTTTCTCAGCCAAGTGTTGCTTATGTGTATAAGGCTGAGGTGTTAAGTTTGCTCTAGTTGACCTTTTACCACAACTACTACATATATTTGGAGAAAAAAAAAAAAAAAAGACATCAAGACATCCAAAGATATTTTTCATTACAGAGTATACCAAAGACCTAGCTCTTTCAATTGTTTTGAAAAAAGCAACTTTGATTCATTATTTTGGTTTTCATGTTTTGCAGTTTTTTTCTGTCCATAAAAGATAGGTTATTTAAAAGAGAGGCTAGATGCTTATCTCCTTTAGCCAAACAAGAATTTTTATTGCTTTGCCTTTCATATTTTACTATTGTGTTGCTGGCTAAACTTTTAAGAGTTTTGTGTTAACGAGTAGTGGTTACTTTGCCAAAGCTATTTCTATACCTTAGAGAAAAATCAGTGTATTTATACCTTTTATTACATAATAGTTGTATTTCTGAGAAGTTGTGTGATATAAATTTGAATGCCTAAAATTTACTTTTTAAAGTAATGATATGAATTTTTATAAAAAATAATCATTATCCAGTTTTAAACTGTTTATATTTCAGATTGTCCCTAGAGTGCAAAAAAATTGTATTTTATAAATAGCTCTCCTCAGGAGTATACACTAGTGGGCGGAAATGTTGCATATTGTGAAAACTAAATTCAGAATTTGTTTCATTTTCTACAGTTAGTGACTTATGAATCAAAACAAAATAATAAGGTGCTTTGGCAAGCCCTCACTTAATTTATGGTTCATTTTGTCTTTGAGTGTTCTAGTGGCCAAGATTATACATAAGGGAATATAAGTTGAGGGTAGAAATAAGACTTCTCTTAAAAGGGACTCGTTCAGTAATTTTGCAGTGAGTTTTCAGTGTGGCCATTTATATAATAAATATAATTTTCATATAATACTAAAGGAGAATGCTCTCTCCTATTTAGAAATGGTTCATTCTGTGTCCTGAGCTGGTGATAAGTTTTTAGTGCTTCCTAGGACATTTTGTATAACAGTGGCAGGCTTGAGGCCACCACTTCTCACTACAAAACTCAATGCTCTGATGAGTAGACAGAGACGAGACTAGATTACCTTTTTTCCTGACTACAGTATCACCCTGTCCCAAAAGCTGAACAGTGTTACTTCCAATTCTCCCACACCCCTGTCTCTCCGTCCAAGCAAAAAGATGGAGCTTATTTTATAATGTGGTTCAATTGCTTTATCCTAAAACTATATAGAGTCAAACTCAGTTGCAATTGGCATCCTTTTAGACTTAGGATAAATGATCTTTCTGCCCTGGGAACTGGAAGAGTAACAAAAGCTCATACTACCATTGTGTTGGCTGTGACTAAATAATAGCTTCAGAGCAGTCTGTTTTCTAAGCCATTATATGTTTACTGAAGACATTTTTGTTGTTTATTTTCTTAGCCTATACTGTAACAGTAGCAGAACTTACATTATATGTATTTAATAAAATACTGGATTATTTTATAGATGTTACTTAAACTATTATATTCATAAAAGCCTGAACACATATTATTTAGGTCTCACTAATTCATAATATAATTCTTTCTGAAAAAACTTGCTTTTGGACCACCTATGGAAAAAAAAAGATTTTAAAAAATAAAGGAATATGATATTTAATAATAAATACTGAAACTTAAGGAAAGCCTTATTCTCTACTGAAGTAAAAAGTCTGCAAGCCTTCTCTCGCCCCATTAAGAGCCCAGAACAGAATCTTTACTTGTATTTTAACTTTATTGGTTTCCCACTTTTTGAAATTTTAAATACTTCACCTTTAATGGTGCAGTGATACAGGTGGGATAGGATTACTATGCTTTGTCCATTTTGCAAGTGAGAAAAGTGATACCTGGGACAGTGCAGTGACTTCTCTAACTTGGAAATGTTCACTTTACTTCCAGTTATAAATTCAACCAATTAATGTTAATTTTATGATAAAAAATGCCATGACAACTGACATTTGGCCTATACTTTCTCTTTTAGCCTGCACCCCTGTAGGATTCATGGAAGACCTTGGGAAAGAAAGCACAAACCTGCACTTGACGAATTTCACTGCAACATACAAAAGACACCCCCCTCTCTCACCAAATGGCAAAACTCTTTGTCATACCACATCTTCCCCTTTTCCAGGAGATGTAAAGGTTTTACCAGAGAAAGCAATTCTCCAATCATGGACCGATAACGAGAGACCCATTCCTCATGACTGTTCAAACTTTCAGGAACACTACTCGTATGGCAGAAATTCTCTGGAAGACAATTCTTGGGTACTCCCAAGCCCTCCTAAATCAAGTGAAACAGCATTTGGGGAAACTAAAAATAAAACTTTTCCTTCACCCATCCTGCCACCCCCACTTAACTTGGATCAACGTAATCAAAACTGCCTTTATAAGAATTAATTCTGAAGAGATCTGTGACTTGGTCATGAGGCTGCTGTAACTCCAGCAAGTATTCTTGAGAAATTATTTAATAAACTGAAAGCAGGTTTGATTAAACTTTTGCAAAGTTCTTCAATGTACACATTTGCACAATACTGTAATGTATTATGTAGTTGATTTTCCAGTATGAGAGCAACTGTCCAGCTTCACATTCTGGCTAAAAATCAGATATATACTACTAATAAATTAATAAACTTGAGGTGTTTCAAAAAGTCTGTCTTTGATAATGTTTGTACATTTCGGCCTCACATAAAGAATGGAATTGAAAGTTTTTAGATATGGTTTTACAAAGCATGTGAAATGTCTAAATAGCTATTCATTAAAAATAAAGGAGGCCATTAATATAAGAGGAAATTTATATAAGTTGCTTTAAGTTACATAAAGGAGCAAATAGCAATGTGAATAGTTATTTCCTGTTGATAAATGTGAAAAATACAAATAAATAGTGGAATAATACTATGTAGGTTTTTCCATCTCTATATGCTATTGTGTTTCAAAGTTTAAGAAAATTTTTAATCACAATGTTTTTGATAAAGTTTAGAACTGCAATTTGAATTTTAAGATTTGAAGTAACCTGACTTTAGAAGCCAACTAGTTAGAAGTAGAGCATCACAAAGGTTTCAGTCTAATTTGTCCCTTCAGGGTCCATAATGAAAATCTAAAGGTATAACTGTATAAATTAATTTTCTTCAAAGGGTCTACAGAACGTTCACTTGTTATGTAGAGCAGCTTATAAATTATTAGATTTTTTGTGATGTGTTACTTATTGAGTGATTTTTAATTAATTTAAGGATTTTAATTCTAGAAACCATATTCTGTGCCATATTGATAAAGTATAATTATAAAATGTCCTCAAACATCCTAAATGGCCTATTATTTATAAACAAAGAAATAACAAGGATGGCTTCACATGGAAACTTATTTAAATTCTTTCAGGGCTGCAGTATTAAGAATATTAGTAATAAAATGTATTACTTGATTTCATACATCCTTTGCTTGAGATAAAGTGTTTCATGTGGGAAACCTTTAGTCTTTTTAATAGACAGTTTCAAACATCCGTCTTAAACTCAAAAGAATATCTCAGATCACGTCTATATTATCTGAATAGCATACATACATAAACAATGTTCACTGTTCATCATATATTTTTGTCTTTCTATTATCTTACTCACTTATTCAGGCTTGTCTGTGATTAATGGAATTGGTGTCAGATGCTGAAATTTATTCTGACCAATGAACACAGCTGACTCAAGGGAGTAGAATCTCCTGCCAAGTAACAGAACAAAATACAATATGCATAAAACAAACACAAGACTCCAGGCTTTAGCTGAAGGAAGCAACTACCTGTGTAATATGAAAGCTGCAGAAACTACTTCTCATGTTGCTGCATAGGCTGTATATTATATCTAATCTCTAATGTAGCTGGCTGGTTTGCCATTTTTAAAACCAAGATTGGAAATTTTACTCTATAAAGAAAATAAGTCATATGAGATAATGACTTGATCAATGTTTTGAACAATGCAAAGAAGTTAAAATTATTTTTATTTGAAGTGGAGGTGAAATTTGCCTGTTATATATTTCAAGATCTGGTACTAAATGTTTATTGTTAATTTTAACTCATATAACAGACATTTGTCTTGTTAAACTAACTTCTTTTGAGTGGAAAAAATGCTTTTCCAGCTAAACAAAAGAGTAGCTATCAAAACAGAAAGTCAGTGGTTGATGTTCTGGCAGTTTAAAGTGCTAAATAAGTGTTGTGTAAGATTACCTAAGAAAGATTAACCAAAAATTATTTGTACCCAGCCTTAAGTTTTTCTTAATGTATACTTAAATTTTTAAATGTATACTTTATCATTTCTGTTTTAGGTAAAATTTCAAAAGAAATTAATGGCCCATCGGTAGCTTATAAACTTGCTCCAAAGGACTTCCCTTGAAAATTTCTTAATCAAATTTCTTTTTTAACAATATCCCAATTCTCTATATCCATTCCAATGAAGAGACCACAGCTGACAACTAACAGCCACTCATCCCTTCCTCTTGATCCCCTATTAGCTAAAACTAAATTTACATCTTCTCTAAAAGAAAACGGAGGTTCTGTCAAAATGGAACCTAATTCCTAAGCAGAGCAGGGACACCTATGTGAAACATTAGAAAACCAAAATGGGGGGGAGGGGGGACGGGGGGAGGGAGGGGACAGGACTCAGACCTTAGAACTGAAGAACTGAATCAATGTGAAAACAAAGGAATGATCCTATCCAGACAACCTACTTGGGGAAGGTAGATCTTACAGGGCAGAAAATCTGGATTGTCACAACAAAATAACACCAGCTGAGGCACAAAAGAGCAAGCAAGACAAAAATTGAGGCAGATGTCTAGTTGTAAATGTAGACTTGAGTGTGCAGAAGCATGAATAGTCTAAAGGCTATGATGAATAGTTTAGTTTTTGACTTGCTGCTTTAAGTTCTTTAAAAATATCAGATCTATTTCAGTGGGGTTTGGGACAAAGTTAAATCTTGTCCTTGGAGATAGTCATTTCTATTTGGGATTTTAATGAGAACTGTAAACATATAAAATGCACTTACCTGGAAAGTGGTTGCAATGGCTGTAGTAAAGTTAATAGTTCATGGGGGGGGGGGGGGCAACTTTTAATATAAAAGCTCAACCTGGGACCATATTGCATTGGGACAGAAAAATTTTACATTAACTCCTGAAACCATTACTATGTTATAAAATGGTCATTTAGGTTTATAAAGACCTTTTTAAAAAGATTAAAGTATTTTCAGTAGCCAAATTACAGGTCAAGGAGTATAGTGATACATTTAGGAAAAAATTGCCATCAAAGATGTTAATTAATTTTGCCGAGACCGGTTTGGCTCAATGGATAGAGCATTGGCTTGGGGACTGATGGGTCCGGGTTCGATTCCGGTCAAGGGCATGTACCTTGGTTGCGGGCATATCCCCAGTAGGGGGTGTGCAAGAGGCAGCTGATCGATGACTCTGTCTCATCGATGTTTCTAACTATCTCTCTCCCTTCCTCTCTGTACAAAATCAATAAAATATATTAAAAAAAATATTTTTTTAAAAAGATGTTAATTTTTACATACTTATCTACCATCTATATTTCCAAATAAGCATTTAGTAATAATAACAATAAGTAGCATTAAAGAGCATTTACCATGTCCAGGGGTCTATTCTATGTATTTATTACACTACCCAATCCTCACAGTAACTGTATGAGACTTATTTCCAGTTGTATAGCTAATAAGTAGAGAACAAGGAAGGATCCTGTTTCATAATCACTCTGCTGTACTTCCTAGTTACTAACTCCTTTGACGGTTGTCCATTCCTGTTTTCCTTTAGTTACATCAGGCCCCATGATTAGCCTTCACTCTACACTGATAGAGAGTAAGATAAGATCTATATGGAACCCTAAAAATTACAACTACAGCCAAAACTGGTTAGGCTCAATGGATAGAGTGTCGGCTTGGGGACTGAAGGGACCCGGGTTCAATTCCGGTCAAGGGCATGTACCTTGGTTGCAGGCATATCCCCAGTAGGGGATGTGCAAGAGGCAGCTGATCAATGACTCTCATCGATGTTTCTAGCTCTCTATCTCCCTCCCTCTCTGTACAAAATCAATAAAAAATATATTTAAAAAGAAAAATTAGAACTACAGTTGTGGAAATTTTTTTTAAAAAAATCCATAACGACCAGGCAAACTATATCCCATTTCACTATTTAATTCAATCTCATTTAATAAACCTAACTTTATATTTAAAAAAAAACTTTATTTCAGATGAAATTAATATTTCCATAATTTAGGATAAGCAGACACAATTCCTTGAGTCCATTATCTTAGGTAATTGTGATTTCCATGAATAGAGTTAGTATCATTGAGTATTTGCCTACATGCTTGTTGGAAGCTTCTGTAGCCTTTTCTTGGTAGGAATTCCAGTTTTTCTGAATTCTTCCCTTTCCTTCAGGTATTCCATTTTACATTCTTCATAAAAGGCAGGATCAGTATAGCTATAAGAAAGAAGTGAACACCTTTTAAATGAATCACTCTGCAAGTATTTAATATAGGCTTCCTTTAATAACATTCAGATATCCAGTTGATCTGGCATGAACATTAGAAGTAGATTTTAACAGCTGAAACTAAAATAATATTGAATGTCAATTGCAATTGAAATAAATTTTTTTTCAAAAGAAGATATTTTGTAATAACCTTAAATTCACTGTAAACAGTACTCCACCAAACTAATGAAAGACCAGAAAAATAAAAAGATCTAATGGTAACGACACTATCCCAGGATATAATGAGAAGCACACTGCCTATCCTCAAGGAGCCCATGGTGTTACAGAACAGATAGGTAAAGAGTGAATTCTAACTAACTATACAAAGTGCTGTGATAGAAGTATGGCCCAGTGCACCATGGAAAGATGGGGAAGAAATGGGGAAGGTGGAGACGTCAAAGGGAAATGCTTGAGCTGCAGTTTGAAGGATTATCAGAAATCCCTGTAGAAGGCACATGTGTGCAAAGGCACTGAGGTGAGGAAAAACTTGGATGCATAAAGAACTGTAGGTAACTTGGAACCACTATGGCAGATTATGCACATAGGAGAAAGGGCCCGAGATGTAGCTAGAAAGGGCAAGACCAAATCATGATGGTCCACTTATGCCATAGTAAGAAGTTAAAAAGCTATCCTGAAGACGATGGGACACTATTAGGAGAGCAACTGGAAGGTCAGCTTTGTGTCTTAGATGAATATGCAGCACATAGGCTAAAAGGGGGCAGCAAAGTTAGAAGCAGGATATCCAATAAATAAACTATCATAATGACTCAGACAAGAAATGATGAGGGCCTAGGCCAAAGGAGAAGCAGCAGTAATGAAATGGATGAAATGGATCTGGGGGAGATTTGGGAAATGGATCAATAGGAAATAACCGATTAGAGTTAGGAGACAAGAAAGATACTAGACAACTATACTATTGTAGTATAATTCACCAAGACACATAATGCAGAGTAAAAGCAGATGAGTTCAATTTTGTGCCTGAAGAAAGCATAGAAATGTCACAGTCAATAAGAAGTAACTGACTCTATGAGTGCAAACTGAACTTTCTCTTATTTAAGAATGAGGAGAGAAATAGAGAAGCAAATTTAAAAAACAGATTAAGGGGGGGAAAGGCAAAGAAATAGCTATAGATATTAGGAAACAGGAAGCCAGATAGAAAAGCAGTTTATAAGATTTCCAAAGAGGTCAGGTAAAAGAAAGGACTGCAAAGAGATTCAATTTGGCTACCATGAACCAACTAAACCTTTAGGAAGAGCAACTTCAATAGAGTGAGGACAGAAGTCAGATTACAGTGTATTGAATTCATGAAGATGAGACAGGCAGAAACAAGAGCACAAACAATGTTTCAAGATGTCACTATGAAAAGATGAGAGAGCATAGTGGTTACATCCATTTTAGGGAATGTCAATAGTAACTAAGGCAGAGCACTTTTTTTACTCAAAGATGAAAAATACTATTTCTTAACTATAAACCCATCTAAAACATATTCTTTAGATCAACCTCTTCGTGAAAATTGGTTAACGTGAAAAGAAATTGGTTAAATCACATGAAAAACATGCTTTTCACAATGGAATACTACTCTGCTATAAAAAAGGAACTTTTACCACTTGCCACTGCATGGATGAAACTGGAGAGCTTCATGCTAAGTGAAATAAGCCAGTTGGAGAAAAATATGTATTACATGATCTCACTCATATGTGGGATATAATGATCAACATAAACGGATGAATAAAAATGGAATCAGAGGTCGTGTACGTGAGCCTCGTTGGGCTGGGGAGGCACCCAGCTTCTGTGCGGGGAGGAGTTGGAATCAGCAGCCGGAGGGAGGCCCCGCCCCTCAGCGCCTGTGCCTGGCAGAGCTGGTGTGAGACGAAGAGACAAGCCTTCCCTGCTGCTGGGGTAATCAAGAGTTTTGGCGGCACCCTTGAGCACACACCTAGAGAGTGAGGAGCCAGACGCAAAGCACAGACTATGGCGTTGAAACGGATTAATAAGGAACTTGGTGATTTGGCCCGTGACCCTCCAGCACAGTGTTCTGCAGGACTAGTGGGGGATGATATGTTTCATTGGCAAGCCACAATTATAGGACCAAATGGCAGCCCATATCAAGGAGGTGTATTCTTTCTGACAATTCATTTTCCTACAGACTACTCCTTCAAACCACCCAAGGTTGCATTTACAGCAAGAATTTATCATCCAGCTGAAACCTGTTTGGCTCAGTGGATAGAACGTCGGCCTGCGGACTGAAGGGTCCCGGGGTTCGATTCTGGTCAAGGGCATGTACATTGGTTGCGGGCACATCTCCAGTAGGGGGTGTGCAAGAGGCAGCTGGTCGATGCTTCTCTCTCATCGATATTTCTAACTCTCTGTCCCTCTCTCTTCCTCTCTGTAAAAAATCAATAAAATATATTTTTAAAAAATTTATCATCCAAATATTAACAGTAATGGCAGCATTTGTCTTGATATTCTAAGATCACAGTGGTCTCCTGCATTAACTATTTCTAAAGTTCTTTTATCCATCTGTTCACTGCTATGTGATCCAAACCCAGATGACCCCCTAGTGCCAGATCTATGACCCCCAGATTGCACGGATCTAAAAAACAGAGTTAAGTACAACAGAATATCTCGGGAATGGACTCAGAAGTATGCCATGCGATGCTAACTTAAAGTCAGAATAACCTGCATTATAGCTGAAGTAAATTTTAAATTACTGTTCCTTTTTGATTTTCTTATCCAGCTGCTCCCCTATCAGACCTCATCTTTTTTAATTTTATTTTTTGTTTGCTTCCCTCCATTCATTCACATGCTCATCTGAGAAGACTTAAGTTCTTCCAGCTTTGGACAATAACTGCTTTTAGAAACTGTAAAGTAGTTATAAGAGAACAGTTGCCCAAAATTCAGATTATTTTTTAATGGAGCATGTGTATTATGTGGCCAATGTCTTCACTCTAATTTGGTTGAACCCATTCCTCACTGCTCTAACATGCTAAAGAAATCATCTGAGGGGAGGGAAATGGAGGCTCAGTTGTCACATCAAAGGAAACAGCATTATTCTAGCAGCATCCATTCTTGTTTAGGCCTTCCACTGTTAGAGATCTGAGGTTACATGATATACTTTATGCTCATGACTGATGTGGCTGGTGAATTGGTATTGAATTTATAGCATCAGCAGAACAGAAAATGTGATGTATTTTATGCATGTCAATAAAGGAATGATCTGTTCTTGTTCTGCAGAGAATGGAAATTGGAAGTCAAATACCCTTTGTATTCCAAAACAGGGTCTCAAACATTTTTTAATTTTCATTTAAATTGTTAGGAGGCTTGGAGCTATTAGTTGATCTATCTTTCAATACACTGTTTAATATAGCACTGAATAAATGATGCAAGTTGTCAATGGATGAGTGATCAATTAATAGCTCTGCTAGTAATTGATTTATTTTTCTTCAATAAAGTTGCATAAACCCCCCACCCCTCCAAAAAAAAAATGGACCCAGAGACAAGGTGGCACTGAGCAAGCAGACCATCCAACCTTGGGGAGAAAGGGGGTGGGGAGGAGCCCGAGGGTGTTTGAGGTCAACCAAAGGACTTGCATGCATTCGAATTAACATGACCAATGGACACAGACTTTGGGGCGGTGGGGGCTTGCCCTCAGGGGTGGGAGTAGCGGGCGGGGAGGTAGTTAATCAGGGAAAAGATACTTTAATACTTTAAACAATAAAAAAACAAACAAACATGCTTTTGTTTACTGACCCCATATATTTAATCAGATACAATGCTGACCCATATAACATAGACACTTTATAAATATGTTGCTTTATTTTTAGAATAATGTTTAACAAATTGAACCTTTAGACTTAGCTAAAAATATGATGGATTTGGGGGGGGACAAAATATATTATGAAGCACAAACACTGAGATAACTACTTACTAAGCGGTTAGACATTCTTTTAATGCAGAATTTTCTTTCCGGCATTTTACTACCATAAGCATTCCAGATTCCTTGCAACATTTGGTAAAATCTGAAATAAAACATTTGGAAAGAAAAAGAAATAATTTGTAATTATATCCACACAATTTCTAACAGATATAATTTAATATCTATTACTAGACTGTGTTTGGCACACAGCACATGCTCTCTCTCCCAAAGACATGTACAAGAATGAAAGGCAGAATGAGATGAGTGTCACTTATTTTGTGGAAATAAAGAGATTTGAGAGGAGGGAGAGAGGAACACCTCTTGGAGTGAGGAGACAGATAGGATGTAGAAAAATATGATTTCTAACAGAGAAAAAGCTTTTTCTAGAAGAAATGAGTAAGAAGGGCAAAAGAGGAGCTGTTTCCACCCAGCCGTCATGGCTCAGTGGTTGAGCTTCAATCTATGAATGGTTATGGTTCAATTCCCGGTCAGGGCTAGATCCTCAGTGTGGGGGGTGCAGGAGGCAGCTGATCAACGATTCTCGCTCATTATTAATGTTATATATATATATATATATATATATATATATATATATATATATATATATCCCTTTCCCTTCCTCTCTGAAATCAGTAAAAATATATTTAAAAATAAATATATTAAATATATGTTAGTTAATAAATATACTAAATAAGTAAAAGAGGAGCTGTTTCTAGACATGGGCATTGGGTGTCCAGTCTCTACATGTCTTCTCTTGATGGCATAAAGGCACTCCCTTTCTTGTTTCTTTAATCCTCACCCAAGCATGTGGTTTACTGATTTTTAGAGAAAAAGGGAGAGAGAAGAAGAGAAACCTTGAATTATATCATCCTCACAAAGAATTAACTAGGTAAAAAATTAACTTTTTCTGACTATATTTTATAACTTGTAATACACTGTTATCAAGATTTCCTTTTCTTGAGCTGTGTATTACCCATTTATAGTTACTAAGGAATATAATTTATAATTATTTTAAAGCAAGCATGCAATTTCAGGAGACTCCATGAAAACACATAATATGTCACAAAAATATTTTTTAAACCACAAGCAAACTGGAAATGATTGAGATTTGTTAAATGCATAAAAACTCAGAGGGACTTTGCTGGGACAAGAGCCTTACATCAGAGATACCAGTATGTACCTGCAGCATCACAGAACACTTTGAAGAATACATGGTAGTATAGGAACAAAGGCAATAGATACAGGTAATGACTGTAATGCAAAAATTTAGTGGGTCTAATCACATTAAATTATGGGTGATATATAATACTCCACTTCAAATATAGGATTAGCTTATTTTAGTTCCTTGTTCACTAGTCTCAGCAGGCCCAACAACTGCTCTGATTCCTGAACCTACTCAGATACCTTTTTTATTCCAACTACGAAATGTTCTCCATCCTCTCTGTGCAAATGAGCTAGATACCAGGCCAAATCAGACCAAGGGATCATTGTTTGTGCGCTTTGAATAAGGACTTCCTACAACTCAAAAATGCAAAGCAAACTTTATATAATCAGCCCATTATCAGTAGAGACCATGATTATCAAAAACTTTCACTCTGGAATGTCATTAGCATGCCTACACAAGTTAGTTTTTCTACCTAGAGTATAGTAAAATCTATCTTTCTAGAAGCAAGAATTATCCCAAAGAAAAATTAAGACATGAGCAATACTCAAAGGGAATATGTGCATCAAAGTAACTCAGAAGTGACTAAATCTGGCTAAGGGCTCCTTGAAGGGAACTGCCATGGTGCAGTGGTGATGAACCATGAGCTGATCTCCCTGCACCACCTCCCCTTCCTGGAACCTCAGAGACCTCTGGACCAGTTCACTCAGTTAATGTCTATAAGGAAGACTCTGCCTAATGAAATTTCATAGTTGACCAATCTTAGTCCTTTTCTGGAAAACACAAACACAATGGCTATTATCAAAAGTCCACTTTCTGAATTTAACAAACACAATATTTTTACACTGATAATTCACGTCAGAATGCTTAGGCATTCATTATTTTAATACTTCTTTCCCTAACATAAATAGAAATGCCCTTAGTAGGGAATTAATGCAAGGTAGCATTTATGTGTTCTGATCACAATAAAGGCGCATTCTATGTATTTTCACACTTGTCCAAATCTCTTCAGGAATAACTGTGACTGGCCTAAAGCCTCAAGCTGTTTGTAGGGTTTTTGTCACTTGTTTAGCAACAAGATTTTAATGAGGGTCTTTCTTTCATACCACATTAGCATACATTCATATAATAATGATGTTGCTAATACTGCCAACTGATTTCTAAAATAGTATTCTGAAACAAATCCAATTAAAATTGCTTCTTTCAATATTATGTTAAATGTTAAAGAGCTCTAACACCTCTATATAATTTAATTACCATTAAACACTATCCTAGTAAAAATAAAATTTCATTCACTTAAGTAAACCTTAAGGTAATGCAAATGAATAGCAATAAATAGTGAGTGTAGAGAGATTATTAAGAGTTATTCTAAACTTTAAAGAAAAGTAGTTAAATACAGAATTCAAGACTTTCTTCCTAAAAAAAAAAAAAAAAAAATCAAGAACATGAAAGAGTATCTTTCTTTTGTAGATCCTCATTTCTCTGAAAACAAAACAAAACACAATACCATATAAGAAACTATTGGTAAAAATATGTTTTAGGATTAATAAAATTTAGGTCAAGTATATCTATGAAAAACAGAAAGAAAATCTTCTCTTAACTTTAGTCAAAGGTAATGGGCAAAATAATCACATTGAAATTATGTACAAGTAGCCTATATAATTTCCAGTTTCTATAGGAAAAAAAACCTTTGGGGGAACCTCTGTATAAACAATAAGAGAAATAAATCATTTAAAAATTTTTTAACTTATTTACTTTATGGAACTTTTATTATATTTTAATATTTCAATAAACCCCAAACATTATTGGCAAAATAATGAGTCATCCAGTTACAGCGAAAGCATTCAATGAGATGACACTAATAATCCTCAATGTCTCGTCTATGACTAGAAACCACTCCATTTATATCTCCACTAACCTACATTTTTTTTAGAAATCCTAAGTTTATAAATTTTTACAGAACCCCTTTAGACACAGAATTACTTGTAACTTTCTATTTCATTAGTACTTTTATTTCATTAATAAGTAAAATATTTATAAAGTACCTATTTTTTCAGCTGTATTATAAAAAACAAATATAACTTAGAATTTTAACATGTAAGCTATGTGTAATATTTCTGTAACTACACCATCATCTTAATGGTTTCACCTTAAAATCTAGAACTTCAATTTTATCTAAATGAAAAAGATTTATGGAGGTCTTGCTTATTAATTATATGTAGTAAGATAGATTTTAAAATCACCTTAAGTTCATAATGCATCATTAACTTTACAACTGGAAATCTTAAGCATAAAACCATTGGCTTTTACAGAACTGGATAAGAACAAAGACAGATATACTTTAAATACTGTATAAAAGATCTTTTGAACCAATTATTAAATCAGAAGAGGTTTTAGGAATGCAGAACTGAAAATGATACAATTTGGGGAGGGATTAGGTAGGTGGTGACTTTTAGTAAGATTTTCCTTCAGACAAAGGTGTCTGGAGTGTTAAATCTGTAATATAAATTTAAGTCTAAAACTAATTTTTCGCAGGAAAAAGCTATTCTTTAAGTAAAGACTTCTGTTGTGAGCAGTGTAATGCCAGGTCCCTGTAGACTATGCCTAAGTGCTGTGCTGATCTCAGTAATCATCCTCCCTTCTGGAAGCTGTGAAGTAAAAAGTGCCTGAAGACAACAGGAGGTCACCCTCGGTTCTGAGCACACCAACCCCGAGTGCAGTAACGAAGGCCTAAAGCCAAGGCAGAGAGAGACCGTGAAGACAGTAGTTTGTCTTCCTCTAATGACTGCTCAACTGACACAAACCAAGGCCACAAGGCCACCAAGCACATTACTCTGTATAACTGACAGCATGAACAATGTCAGGAAGCTCTTGTGAAAGATTTTCTTTTTAAATCTTTATTGTTCAACTATTACAGTTGTTCCTATTTTCCCCCCATAGCTACCCTCCACCAGGTTCCCACCCCACCCCAAGTCCTTACCTCCCCCCAACTGACCTCATCCATAGGTGTATGATTTTTGTCCAGTCTCTTCCTGCACCCCCCACACTCCTTTCCCCTCAAGAACTCCTGGTTGAGGGGAAAATTTGCATATTAGCCTTTATTATATAGGATATACACTGAGTGGCCACATGCGCCCAGAGATCATAATAATCTGGCCACTCAGTATAGAATAAACTTAATTAAAACTGCCAGGAGTTCGACCAGCAAGCAGGCTGGCAAACAGCCCATGTCCCCTGCCTCTGGCCAGGCTGGCTAGATCCCACCCATGTACGAATTCATGCGCTAGGCCTCTAATATATATATTGAATGGCCAGATCATTATGCGTTCAGAGATCATAATAATCTGGCCACTCAGTGTGTGTGTATATATATATATGTATATATGTATATATATATATATGTATGTATATATAAAAGGCTACGTTGACTCTTGCAGGTGCAATACATATAAAGCTCTCACTAGCATCAATTACACACATATGTTTCGATCTGTCATTGTCAATCGTGAATTTGGTTGACACTTCTATTATAGAGAAAGAGCAAATATCGATATTAAAATATTTCTTTCAATTAAGTTCCTTTCAATGTGCACGAATTCATATGTGAAGTCAATAGTAGAAAATAACATTCCTAGCTTTTTCCTTCTCCTGGTTCAGAGTCTTTACTAAATGTAGTTTCCAGAGTACTGATAAAATCTGGATTACCCTCCCCATAATCTGCTGGTTTGCCAATTTATCTATTTAGCACCTTGTTTTGCTCCATACAGGATTTGAAGTAGCTTGGTAACTCCCTTAAAAAACAGCATTCATAAAGGTTTGATAAGTTCTTGAAATCCAAACACAATAGGCAGTAAGCCAAATATAAAAATAACAATGGCGCCCTAGCTGGTTTGGCTCAGTGAACAGAATGTCAACCTAAATGGTCCAGGATTTGATTCTGG